GAACTGAGAATTTGTTTTCCATAACCCTAACCTTAACCACTCGAAATTAATGCCTAAACTGTTAACCTTTGAGTTGTTTCCATTTTAACCCGGTAACCTTGTGTATGTGTGTGTGTGTGTGTGTGTGTGTACCCAGGTAGACGAGTATGGTCTCCATGGCGAGGTGTTTTTTGACCAGCAGGTGGGAGTCGGTACCCAGAGAGTGCAGGATGGGTAACACACGCTCCAGATGATGCAACGGACGCTCTGAGAGAGAGAGAGAGAGAGAGAGAGAGAGAGGACAGCCAGTGAAAAGTGCAATGTAATGTCAATAATCTTTCCCATTTTGATTTTGTTTTAGCTTTCATACCATGTCATGTGTCTTCTCAGTCATGTTGAGACTGGTCTACTACTATTGCTTTAATGTATTGTTATTCTCATTAATATTGTTGTTGTAGTTACTGTTAATGGTAATACCATTTCCACTACTACTATTATTGCTGTTGGTCCCACCATTTTTGTTATATGTATACTTTGACAATGTAAGTAATTTTGCCATGTCAATAAAGTGTATTGAATTGAGAGGGGATAGGGGGACAAACAGAACAGATCAGAGCCTCAACAGCAGCATCACCACTCCCTAGCTCTACCATCCCCTCATCATCCCCTACCTCTTTCCCCACCTCTCCTTCATCCTCTCTCTCTCTCGCTCTCTATATGCAGTATATATAGATATACAGTATATCTGTCCTCCCATCTCTCACCACTCACTGGTCTCCTCCTTCTCCCAGCAGCTCCAGTAGTCATTCTCTCTCTGGCCTTTCCTCAATTGCATACTCCTCGTGTCCTCTCTCCTCCTTCTCAAAACCCATTGGAGGAGAAGGTCAGAGGGGAGGGAGCTCATCCAATGGTTTTGAGAAGGAGGCGAGGAGAGAGGACGCAAGGAGTATGCAATTCTGAAAAGGCCTCGCTCTCTCTCTCTCTATTATAGATGTATATTGGTCCTCCCATCTCTCTCCACTCACCGGTCTCCTCCTTCTGGCTGACCTCCCAGCAGCTCCAGTAGTCTTTCTCTCGGACCTGGATCTTCCGCCGGTCCAGAATCTCACAGGTCAGCTCTGCAGCCGTCATAGAACCAGGGATCTAGAGGGGAGAGCAGCGGAGGGAGTGAGATTCTGGACCACTTCTTACTCTCTTCATTTCCCTATTGGGATAAAGGTGAGGTCATAAGGGTTAGGTAAGGTCAGAGGTGAGAGTTCACCTTGACATGCTGCTCTGCTGTCTCCTTCTTCTCCTCCAGGTACACTGTACAGATGAAGTCACCTGATGACCCCGACGCCTGCATAACACACAACACACACACACACACACACACACACACACACACACACACACACACACACACACACACACACACACACACACACACACACACACACACACACACACACACACACACACACACACACACACACACACACACACACACACACACAACACCCACACACCACACACACGCGTGTGTTAAAGTACATTGGGTTACAGCAGAACACTGCAAACACTACGATATAAGAAGGTTGTGTGACTCACATAAACCTTGGTGTTGAGGAGGTGTGTGTGGGTGTGTACTGTATTACTCACAGGAACGCTGGAGTTGAGGTTCAACTTCTCTCGGACTTTAATGATGGCCGTGATCTCATCTAGCTGCCTTTTCAGCTGCTGTTCATCCACCTGGACCGCAACAACCACACACTGTCAACCACACACAGTCAACCACACACGGTCAACCACACACGGTCAACCACACACGGTCAACCACACACTGTCAACCACACACGGTCAACCACACACTGTCAACCACATGACACAACAACATGACCGTATAACCAGCGTAACTACTCACTCCATGGTTGAAACACCACTGACCAGGTCACACTGCAGCCATACCTCTACCAAACACTGCAGCCATATCACTACCAAACACCAGAGGGCAGAGTTGTCCATCTATATCCAGGAGAAGAGCGCTAGTGCCTTTTTAAAAATGTATTTTTTATTTAACCTTTATTTAACCAGGTAAACCAGTTGAGAACAAGTTCTCATTTACAACTGCGACCTGGCCAAGATAAAGCAAAGCAGTGCGATAAAAACAAACAACACAGAGTTACATATGGGGTAAACAAAACATAAAGTCAAAAATACAACAGAAAATATATTTACAGTGTGTGCAAATGTAGTAAGTTATGGAGGTAAGGCAATAAATAGGCTATAGTGCAAAATAATTACAATTGAGTATTAACACTGGAATGATAGATGTGCAAGAGATGATGTGCAAATAGAGATACTGGGGTGCAAATGAGCAAAATAAATAACAATATGGGGATGAGGTAGTTGGGTGGGCTAATTTCAGATGGGCTGTGTACAGGTGCAGTGATCGGTAAGCTGCTCTGACAACTGATGCTTAAAGTTAGTGAGGGAGATAAGAGTCTCCAGCTTCAGAGATTTTTGCAGTTCGTTCCAGTCATTGGCAGCAGAGAACTGGAAGGAATGGCGGCCAAAGGAGGTGTTGGCTTTGGGGATGACCAGTCAGATATACCTGCTGGAGCGCAGACTATGGGTGGGTGTTGCTATGCTGACCAATGAGCTAAGATAAGGTTGGGATTTGCCTAGCAGTGATTTATAGATGACCTGGAGCCAGTGGGTTTGGCGACGAATACGTAGTGAGGACCAGCCAACAAGAGCTTACAGGTCACACTGGTGGGTAGTATATGGGGCTTTGGTGACAAAAACGGATGGCACTGTGATAGACTACATCCAATTTGCTGAGTAGAGTGTTGGAGGCTATTTTGTAAATGACATCGCCGAAGTCAAGGATCGGTAGGATAGTCAGTTTAACGGGGGCATGTTTGGCAGCATGAGTGAAGGAGGCTTTGTTGCGAAATAGGAAGCAGATTCTAGATTTAACTTTGGATTGGAGATGCTTAATGTGAGTCTGGAAGGATAGTTTACAGTCTAACCAGACACCTAGGTATTTGTAGTTGTCCACATACTTTAGGTCAGACCCGCCGAGAGTAGTGATTCTAGTCGGGTGGGCAGGTACCAGCAGCGTTCGATTGAAGAGCATGCATTTAGTTTTACTAGTGTTTAAGAGCAGTTGGAGGCTACGGAAGGAGTGTTGTATGGCATTAAAGCTCGTTTGGAGGTTTGTTAACACAGTGTCCAATGAAGGGCCAGATGTATACAAAATGGTGTCGTCTGCGTAGAGGTGGATCTGAGAGTCACCAGCAGCAAGAGCGACATCATTGATATACACAGAGAAAAGAGTCGCGCCGAGAATTGAACCCTGTGGCACCCCCATAGAGACTGCCATAGGTCCAGACAACAGGCCCTCCGATTTGACACATTGAACTCTATCTGAGAAGTAGTTGGTGAACCAGGCGAGGCAGTCATTTGAGAAAACAAGGCTATTTAGTCTGCCAATAAGAATGCGGTGGTTGACAGAGTCGAAAGCCTTGGCCAGGTCGAAGAAGACGGCTGCACAGTACTGTCTATTATCGATCGCGGTTATAATATCGTTTAGGACCTTGAGCGTGGCTGAGGTGCACCCATGACCAGCTCGGAAAACAGATTGCATAGCGGAGAAGGTACAGTGGGATTCGAAATGGTCGGTGATCTGTTTGTTAACTTGGCTTTGAAAAACTTTCGAAAGGCAGGGCAGGATGGATATAGGTCTGTAACAGTTTGGATCTGGAGTGTCACCCCCTTTGAAGAGGGGATCTCTGGGGATCTCAGACGTTACGAAAGAGAGGTTGAACAGGCTAGTAATAGGGGTTGCGACAATTTCGGCTGCTAACTTTAGAAAGAAAGGGTCCAGATTGTCTAGCCCAGATGATTTGTAGGGGTCCAGATTTTGCAGCTCTTTCAGAACATCAGCTGTCTGAATTTTGTGTGAAGGAGAAGCGCGGGGGGGGGGGGGGGGGGGGGGGGGGGGGGAGTGCATGGACAAGTTGCAGAGGAGGGTGCAGAGCTAGTGGCCGGGGGGGTTTAGTGGTAGCCAGGTCAAAGCATGGCCAGCCGTAGCAAAAGCTTGTTGAAATTCTGTTATTGTAGATTTACATGGTGGTGATAGTTGGCCTAGCCTCAGTGTAGTGGCAGCTGGGGGAGGTGCTCTTATTACCATGGACTGTTACAGTGTCCCAAAATTTTGAGGTTAGTGCTAAGGATGCAAATCTCTGTTTGAAAAAAGCAGCCTTTGACTTTCTAATTGATGTGTATATTGGTTCCATAACTTGAAAAGTTGCATATCGAGGGGGCTATTCGTGCTAATGCAGTGACGCACAGGATGTGTTGTGCTGGTTTTTAAAGGCAGTCAAGTCTGAGGAGACCAGCGGGCTATATTTCTTAGTTCTGAATTGTTTGAATGGGGCATGCTTATTTAAGATTGAGAGGAAAGCAATTTAAGGAACAACAGGATCTTAATGACGGAATGAGATCGATATCCATCAGGATACCGGTAGGTCAAGTAGAAGGCATGCTCGCTGAAGTGTTTTGGGACGTTGACGTGATGAGGGGTGGCGTTTGACGGACGTTACGGACGCAGGCAATAAGGCAGTGTCGCTGAGATCCGGTAAAGAAGCGGGGTGATTGTGGTCCTCGTAGTCAGTGGTAGGCACGGCGTGTACGCCAAGGAGTGGGTGATCCCGGGCCACCATACAAAAAAATTTATGATGCAGTGTAAGTCGTTTGGTACAGTGTCTGCTAAATGGATTATTATTGTAAGTTAGTCAGAGATATCTGAGGGTGCCATGTTTCGGATTCGGGTTGTACCTTGATATATTGTGAGATTGAGGGCACTAGTGGATGGAGGATGGCCGGGGTGTCCCCCCTCCCAAATTTGAAACAAACAACCCAAAACCAAACCAGGTCCCCCCCAAACCCCGGGGTAAAGCCAAAACCTTTCTCCCCAAACCTGCAGCCTACCCTTTCCCAAAACCCCAAAGGGGGCAAGTTGTCCACAAATATCCGGGAAAAGGACCCCTTTTGTTTTTTTTTAAAAAATGTATTTTTTTTTTAACCTTTTTTTAAAACCCATAAACCATTGAGAAAAGTTCTCTTTTAAACAAAATCCCTCCCGGGGCCCCAAGATAAAGCAAAGGGTGCGATAAAAACAAAAACCCCAATTTACATATGGGGCTAAACAAACCCAAAAAGGGGTAAAAAATACAAAAAAAAAAGTATTTACGTGTTTAAAAATGTATTTAAGTTTTGGAGGAAAGGGGGGCAATAAATAGGCTAAGTGAAAAAATAATTCATTGATTTTAAACCCGGGAATGATGTTGCAAAGTTTATTTTCAAAGGATACGGGGGTTTCAAATGGGAAAAATAAATAAAAATTATGGGGATGAGGTAGTTGGGGGGGGGCTAATTTCGGGGAGGGGCTTTGTACGGGTGCTTTATGGGTAACTGCTCTGCAACTGATCCCTTAAATTTGGAGGGGAAAAATTTTTCCTCCCCCTTCAGAATTTTTGAAAGTTCGTTCCAGTCTTTTCCCACAAGAACGGGAAAGGAATGGGGGGGGCAAAGGGGTTTTGGTTTTGGGGATGACCAGTCAGAAAAATCCCCTTCTGGAGGGGGCAGACTAGGGGTTTTGGGTGTTGCTATGCTGACCAAGGGCTAAGATAATTTTTGGGTTTTCCCCCTGGGCAGTGATTTTAGATGACCTGGACCCGGGGGGTTTGGCGCCCAATCCGGTGGGGCCACCAAACCAAACTTAAAAGGCCCCAAAAGGTGGGTTTTATATAGGGGTTTTGGGGGGTGAAAAAAAACGGAGGGCCCACGGGGATAGACACTCCAATTTCCCTGTTTAAGTGGGGGGAGGCTTTTTTGAAAATGCATCCCAAGTCGGAGGGGGTGGGATAGTCATTTTAAACGGGGGAAAGGTTTGGCAGCAGGAGTAAGGAGGTTTTTGTTGCGAATAGGAAGCAGTTTTCCAGTTTTAATTTTGGTTTGGAAATGTTTAATTTTGAGTCGGGAAGGATATTTTTTACAGTCAACCCAGACACCCCTGGTATTTTTAGTTGTCCCCCATATTTTGGGTCCCCCCCGCCCAAAATAGTGATTTAGCCCGGGGGGAAAGGTACCTCAAAGCGTTTTGATTGAAGAGCATTGGATTTAAGTTTTTTACAAAAATTTTGGTTTTTTAAAAGGGGGGGTTAAAAAGGTTGGGGGGGGCTAACCCGGAAAGGAAAAAAAAGGGGGGGTTGTAAATGGCAATTTTAAAAACCCCCCCGTTTGGGAAAAAAAGGGTTTTTAACCCACAGGGCCCTTTTTAAAAAAGGCCCAATTTTGTTAAAAAAAATGGTGGTTGCGTAAAAAGGGGTCTAAGCCCGCACAAAAAGGGGCCTTTTCTTTGGGGTTATACACGAAAAAAGACCCGGGCGAGGAATTGACCCTGTAAAACCCCCATAGGAGAAGGTCCGGGGAAACAGGGCCCTGATTTTGTTTGAACGCTTTGAAAAATTTAAACAGGGCCGAGGGGGGTCTAAAAAGGGGAAAACAGGTATTTGGGGGGTTTTGGGCCTTTAATTAATGGGGGGTTAAACAGGTGAAAGGGGGTTTCCCAAAAGGTTCAAAGAAACGGCCTTTGGCCCCCGTTTTTTTGTTAATTTTACCCCAAAAATCGCGGTTTAATTTGTTTAAGGAAAACCGGGGGGGGGGGGGTGGGGGGGGGGGGT